AGGGAAAGATGAAGACAAACTTTCAGGCAACACTCCATCCACGAGCTCAGTAAGCCTCCTGACCTCAATTACCCACTGCACGTGGTATTTTATTTTGAAAACATCAAAATTTTAAATTCAAGTTATTTAAAACGAGCCAAATAACTTTAATCAAATCAGACTCTTCACATTAGGATAAGATATCCTCCCTGCAGGTAGTCCTAAGAATCAGGGCTCTTTTTGTAGAAAAAACCCAGCAGGAACTCATTAGCATAATAGGCCACACCTAACAGCAGAAACTCATTAGCATATTAGGTCACACCCCTGACAGCACAGCTCATTGGCACATTTGGCCACACCCCCATGTTACCAGAAGTGTGCTCATCCAGCCACACCCACCTTTTGCTTCTTATTCTGTTTACCTTCTTTGTTGTCAAAACCCAGGGCTTTTTTGTAGCAGGGACTCCTTTGCATGTTAGGCCACACACCCCTAATGTAGCCAATCCTGATGAGTTTCTGCTGTTGGGTGTGGCCTATTATGCTAATGAGTTCCTGCTGGGCGTGGCCAACTCAGGAGCCAGCCGGAACTCCGTTCCTGTGTGTTCCTGCCCCAAAATAGCCCTGCTAAGAATGCACAACCTTCCAGTTACCTCAACCATAAGTTTGACTGCAGACATGCCAGATGTTTCTCAAACACACACAAAAGCAAACAGTGTAAGTTAAGTTACAAGGTAAAACAAGCTCCTAGAAGTAGCTCTGTTTTGATGTGCTGTGGCTAGAAATAAACAGAGGATCTCTCCGGTGTCATGTATGTTGAATCAGTACGCACATAAATTGCTTGCAAGACACACGGGTGTATTTCAGTTCTCGCTAGTCCAAACTGCAGTGCATTCATTGGCAGGATCAGTGGTGGAATCCATGAGACTGGCCTGTACTGCTGACTGTCTCTCTTTGGGACACCACAGCTGGTTACCAGACTGCAGCTGTTTAGCAGACACAATCCACTGTGTAAAGAGTTGCAAATCCCATTCGGTAGCTGAATTAAGATGTGTCCCTTTGAAAATCAGTGGGGTTTGCAAGAGCCCACAGCCTCTCAAGCAGTAGCAGGAACAAAGGAAACTGTCCCCTAGCTCTGTTATTGGCCGATTAGATCTTATCAAGATTGATCAGATGTTATACAAGACACTGGAGAGGATCCAACCATCCTCCAAGTAGCCTCCCTCCAATCTGAGAGCCAGCCTGGTGTAGTGTGGGGGTGGCCAAACTGCAGCTCCGGAGCCACATGCGGCTCTTTCGCACAGTCTAATTTAATGTTAATAAAAAGCAAATTTGCATATTTTCTCAATAAAAACATGTGTGTAATATTTGTTCGTGTCTTGCGGCTCTCAAACATCTGACATTTATTCTGTGTGGCTGAGATGTTAAGCAACTTTGGCCACCCCTGGTGTAGGGCTTAAAGTGTCAGGCTAGGATCTGGGAAACCCAGGTTTGAATCCCCACTCTGCCACGGAAGCTTGCTGGGGGACCTTGGGCCAGTCACACCCTCTCAGCCTCACCTACCTCACAGGGATGTTGTGAGGTCAAAATGGAGGAGAGGAAAAGGATGTAAGTCGCGCTGGGTCCCCACCACTCTAAGCTGAGTTAGTGTGAGCTAGCTCACAGTTCTTTAGCCTCCGGCTTACACATTTTTGTCTTAGCTCAGGAAGGGATGGCTCCAGAGCAAAGCAATTTAATGCAGTAGTCAAATGGCTCGCTCACAACTTTAATGCCAGTAGCTCACAAAGTAGAATTTTTGCTCACATGACCCCACAGCTTAGAGGGAACATTGGTCCCCACTGGGGAGAAAGGCAGGATATAAATGAAGTAAATAAATAAAATAATTTAAGTGGTCCCTCCTCCAAATCGGAAGAAGGCTCCTTAGTCTGAAGGGAGGCTTCACACCTGAGCCAAAATGAAAGGTGAGGTGTAAATAGAAGTGAATACATGATCCATCCCATCAACAGTCAAGTCTGCACCCTGGGATCATACAAGCTGCGTTAAGAAGTCAACAACTGGTTTTCTGCAGCTATTGAAGTTTTATATCTGAGTGAAAGAATGTCTCTATTCATAGGACAAACCCACTCACAAGAAAAATGGAAAATGGATTCACACCGGAGTGTCGGAACTGATCGGCACCTTACCTAGGCAGGTCTTCCAGTTCAAAGAACCCGTCGCTGGTAATCCCCAAACTGGCTCCTGGAAAGCAATGCAGGCTTTCAGGCACAGGCTGCCATGTTTTAAGATCAGGAAATACTTAACATAATTCAGAACAGTTGCAGAAAAATACAGGTGCTGGGCCCGGACATGCAGACGGATCGGACAAATGGACCTAACGTGGTGGTGCGTACCCTTTTAATCTGCTGCTGTCCACAAAGCGAGCAACACTGCCATCCAGTGCCTCCAAAACCACAAGTTTAAAGAACAGGACATAAAAACAACACCCCAGACAGGGCGACTGTATTGATATAGGCGTAGTTGTAATCAGTGTCCCCTCTAAGCTGAGTTAGTGTGAGCTAGCTCACAGTTTTTTAGCCTCCGGCTCACACATTTTTGTCTTAGCTCAGGAAAGATGGTTCCGGAGCAAACTAATTTATGCAGTAGCCAAATCGCTCGCTCACAACTTTAATGCCAGTAGCTCACAAAGTAGAATTTTTGCTCTCAAGACTACACATCTTAGAGGGAGCATTGCTTGGGGGGGGGAGGGGAGTTGCTGGGAAGTCATGGGGGGGAGACTTGGGGGGGGGGTAGGGCTGGTGGGAAGCCAAAATTTGTGGACCCCTGCCTGAATCAGGAAGACAGCTGAAGTAAGGAACAGAAGAAGTCATGACTTCAGCTACCCTGCATTCCTCCCCCTCCAAACTACTTTTCTTTCCCAGTATATTTTTAAATCACCACTCTTCTCCCCTGTGCTCTGGCTTCCTCTGTGTGGGCTGACTTCACCTCCCGCAGCAGCCATTTTGGGTTTGCCTCTGCTTCCTGTGGCAGTCATTTTGTGGTTATGCCCACCATCCTGTGTCAGAATTCCAAAGATGTCCACAGGCTCAAAAAGTTCAGAGGCGCCTGGCTTAACTCCTCAAGAGTTCCCACTCTGTAACTCCACTTTCCTCAATGTGACTCAAGGCAGAGTACAAAATTTTCAAAACAGCACACTGGAACAGTTGGTCACAGAGCCAACCAGAGGAGTAGTGATCTTGGACTTGGTTCTGAGCGGGTCTCAAGACCTGGTGAGAGATGTAGAGGTTGTTACACCAGTTGGGAACAGTGACCACAATGCTATTAAGTTCAACATTCAGGTCAATGGAAAGTTACCCCTAAAGTCCAAAACAGTGACATTTGATTTCAAAAGATGGAACTTTACATAAATGAGGGGAATAGTAAAAAGGAAGCTGAAGGGGAAATACAAGAGTCAGATCCCTAGAGGATCCTTGGAAGCTATTTAAAACCACACTAATTGAAGCCCAGACAGAATGGATTCCACAGGTTAGGAAAGGTACTACCAGGTCTAGAAAAAGGTCTGCGTGGTTAACAACACAAAAGCGGAAGGTCTGCCCCAATGAACTAAACAAGAGGGACCACAGGCTGGCAAAAGAAACACAAGCCAATAATTAGGCATGCAAAAAGAGATTTTGAGGAGCAGGTTGCTAAAAGCATCAAGAAATACTAAACTTTTTTTTTAAATATATCCAGAGCAGGAAGCCAGCCAGAGAAACAGTGGGGCCTTTGGATGAAAAAGGAATAAAGGGATTGCTAAAGGAAGATGGGGAGATGGCAGAGAAGCGCAATGACTTCCCCCCCCTCTGTGTTCATTGTGGAAAATGTGTGGCACATACCCATGCCACAGCCCCTATTTTCAGGAAGGAAGTCTGAAGAACTGAGCTAAATTGTGGTGACCAGATGAAGTTCTAGATCTACTTGGGAAATTAAAAACTATCAAGTCTTCATGTTCTGATGGCATACACCTGAGAGTTTTTAAGGAACTCAGATGTGAGATCATTGATCTACTAACCTGTACATGTAATATATTACTAAATTCAGCCACTGTACCAGACTGAACAGTAGAAATGTTACACCATTTTTAAAAAAGAGATACAGAGGGGAACCAGGAAATTACAGGTCAGTCAGCTTAATGTATGTCCCAGGCAAATTAATAGAAACTGTAATCAAAGATAGAATTGTTAGGCACATAGAGGGACAAATCCTGCTGAGGGAAAATCAGCATAGTTCTGCAAAGAGGAGTCCTGTCTCACCAACCTTTTGGAGTTCTCTGAGAAAGTGAACAAGTATGTAGACAATAGTGACCTGGTAGACATTATATACCTGGACTTTCAAAGGTACCTCACCAAAGACTCCTGAGTAAACTTAGCAGTCATAGGATAAGAAGACAGGTTCTCTTATGGATTAAAAACTGGTTAAATGACAGGAAGCAAAGAGCAGGAATAATTGGACAGTTGTCACAATGGAGGGAAGTAAGCAGTGGGGACCACCAAGGATCAGTATTGGGGACGGTACTATTTCATTTATTCATAACTGATCTGGATCTAGGGATGAGTAGTGTAATGGCCAGGTTTGCAGATGACACAAAATTATTCAGGATGGTAAAAACCAAGGCTGACTGTGAAGAGTTCCAAGACGACCTCCACAAACCAAGTCAGTGGGCAAGAATGTGATAAATGAAGTTCAATGTTGATAAGTGTAAGATAATGCACACTGGGAGAAAAAAAATCCAAACTTCAAGTACAGGCTAATTGGGTCTGAACGTGCTAAGACTGAAGAGGGAAAAAGATCTCGGAGTGATAGTGGATAGCTCAATGAACGTCTTAACCCCGTGTGCTGCAGCATTAAAAAAGGCAAGCTCTGTGTTAGGGATTATTAGGAAAGGGACTGAGAATAAAACAAGCCAATATTGTAATGCCCCTGTACAGACCTATGGTGTGGCCTCATTTGGAATACAGTGTACAGTCCTGGTCACCCTATCTCCAAAATGACATTGCAGAACTGGAAAAAAATACAGAGGAGGGCAACCAAAATGATTATGGGGTTGGAGCACCTTCCCTATGGGGAAAGGCTAAAGAGTCTAGGAGTCTAGGACTTTTCAGTTTAGAAAAGAGACAACTAAAGGAGGACATAATAGAGGTTTATAAAATTATGCATGAGGTGGAAAGAGTTGACAAAGATAAATTTTTATTCCTCTCCCAAAATACTAGAACTTGAGGCCATCCAATGAAGCTGATAGGCAGTACGTTCAGGATGGACAAAAGGAAATGATTAAAATGTTGAATTTGCTGCCAGAGGATGTAATGATGGCCACAGGAATAAACAGCTTTAAAAGGAATTCATGGAGGAGAAATCTATCAATGGCTGCTAGCCATGCTAACTGAAGGGAACCTCCACACTCAGAGGCACTAATCCTCTGAATCCCAGAGCCAGGAGGCAACATCGGGGGAAGGCCTCGGCCTCTTATGTCCTGTTGTTGGCCCTCCAGAGGAACTGGTTGGCCACTGTGTGAGACAGGATGCTGGACTAGGTGGACCACTGGTCTGATCCAGGCGGGCTCTTCTTATGTTCTTAATACAAACAGTATAATACACAGATCAAACAAGGCAATACAAACAGCACCCACATTCACCCCTTATTGCCTTTGCCTCTAACCCCCCCCCAATCCCTTTGTTGTCTTGTCTAACAATGACAATTGAAATTGTATGCTTCTTGGGGCAGGGGCTCTGTTTTTTTCCCCTTTTATTGCGATATAAATGCATAATTGACAGGGCTTAGTAATGACCAAATGGACAGTAAACCCCATGGAATCCTCATGGACCTGTAAAATAAGCTTTGGGAGCAGCTCAGCTTCAGACCAACTCAGATTTCAACATGAACGGTTCCCTAAACACGGGAGAAAGACAGCACCATTAGAAGTCTTACCGGGGATCTCACTCTCGCTGGGGACCACCGGCTGCCCACCAGTCGCAATCAGGATGTGGGGCGCGGTGTATTTTTTACCATCCACCTCAACCGTGGGTGTGGGATCAGAGGTAAACGTCGCATAGCCGTGAATGGTTTCTACATGAGCCTAGTGAAATCAATTTTAGATTAAAACGTTAAAGACGACGTGAACTGAATTAAATATCAGTAAATACAGCTGGGTGTGGACTAGGGCGTTCTCATCACCCCTGTGCCTTCACAGGGTTAAGCGGCTGTGTGCCGAACCCTCTCCCGTTGTTGTGAATTTTTTGTCTGATATATGAAGATAAGTGAGCTGATTGAGGCACTCAGAGCTACCATGTATTTTTGGAGCAGCCCCTGAAAGGGGGTTCTAAAACAGAAAGTTTCCGTCTAGGTGTGTATCTGTGCTGGAAGTAGATTGGCTTTAATGGAATGGAATGAAATCCAAGGGACTGTAATTCTGCCAGGGAGACAAGGAACAAAATTCTCAGCGCCTTTACTGAACTACAGTTCCCAGGATTCTCTGAGAATAACTATGACACTTAAACCAATATAAAACTGATCCTAGTTTGCAGTACAGACAGGCCTAAGACACCCTTCTGTGTAATGTCCAAAGGTCTTTTTCTGGTCATTTTACAAACCACATTTAAAAATCTAACCAGGGAGAAAAAAACTTGCAAAAAATGATTTGCCCTTGAAACTAAACAATGGCCCCGGTCACACGGGCCAGATATTGCGGGGGGGAGGCGTGACTAATTGCCCTGGCGCAGTTTGATCCGCGATTACGCGATCAGACTCACTGGCGGCACACCACGGGTCCTTCCCTCAGCGCCGCCGGGTAAACGAGGGACCGGAGGGGAATGCCGCGTGCCGGCGCGATCACACCACGGGAGTCTGGAGGCAGCCCGTGGCAAACGTTTACTAGTACTTTGGAGGTACTACTTTTTTAACGCGCATTTTCGGCGGTAAGCCACGGGTGCGCTCCACTTCCCAGATGTTGGGGTGTGATTGTGCCTGGATAATCCGCCCACCATCCGTGCCTCTCCCGCGGCAACTTTGCCGTGTGACTGGGGCCAATGTATGTCAAATTGCCAAGACAGATTGACTCAAAGTAATAATATGAACCAAGAGAGAACCCTTTTTCCCGCTGGGAAATCTTTGTAGTTACAACAGTGAAGGAGTTTTGCAGGTACAGGACTGGCTGAGGTGGGAAACAGGAACGTTTACAAACCTTGTTCAAATTATTTTGATAGATCTCATTCAGCCGCTTCACATAAGCATCACGCTTTTCTTTAATTACTCTGCAACAAAATGTGAGTTTTGTGTCACTAAATTCTCTCTCTCTCTCTCGCACTAGCAAGGCCGTAGTTTAAAAACTTGAGCCTCCTTCTCAGTCCCCATTGGTTAGGCACACAGAAGTTTATGAAGTCAGGCACAACACCCAGTCAAACCAGAAGACGGATCTTTCTTTCTTTAACTAGATGCAAACTTCTTTATATACTGGCTAAAAACTACCATTGGCTCAGCTGCTGTGATGTCAGAACTTCTTCCCAGTGGATTGCACAGCATTGTCAGGTGTCTCTGTCTACCATTCCAAAGGACAAAAATCTACAGCCACAGCCACTCCCTTGGCTTGTATTTAAATTCCAGGCAGTGAACATGCCAATAGTGATCAGATACTATTGAGTTACTACTGTTGTGCTTACCGCAGAGAAATCTGACCTTTTTAATATAGAACCATTCACAACTGATTGAAATCTGCAGCTATCGGCTTTCCACGTGCTCATGTCTGTCACGTAACAGTGAAGCCAACAGAGTGTGCAGTACAGCCACTGGGGGGGGGGCTGCATGTCCTCCCCCTCTTCCTACTGGGAAACAAATTCTCCACCAAGAGCAAAGAGGGCAAATGGGGTTCCCTGTTCACTCACCCATCCACTTGCCATCTGCATGAGCAGCATTATAACAGCAACAGATAAGAAGTAGAGGAAAGAGAAATTCTTGCATTTGGAACTTATTTTCCTTTTTCTCTGCCATTTCCTGCTGCTAGCAGATTCCCTAGGAGAAGGTGGTACAGCCACCCAATGTCTGTATCATATAGCCTATTTGCTGCAACTACACTGGTGTTTCCTGCAGCAAAAGACCCCACAAAAACCCCAAAGCACTAATGACAGCAGCATGCTCCCAAAATGCTTCTGTACACAGGCTGGGGAGTCCTAACTGGCTGTGCACCCCTGGAGCTTGCACACTGTTAAGAAATGTTATATTTTAGATGTTAGCTGTAGGAAACATCACTGTCATCAAAGAAAACCCTATCTTATTGTTTAATTCCAAGCCTGGCCCCAAGCGAGTGGATCAAAAAATCTGCACAAAGGGGACAGGTATGGGTTGGGAAGTTTTTTCTGTAAATGAAGGGAACTCCCAGGTTTGTAGAAAAATCTTAAAACTTGACAACAAAAAAGCGTTGGTGGGGGGGGAGAACATAAAATAGTTATAGTGACGTTGCAAGACTATCTCAGGCAACCTCAGCAGCCATTTTGGATTGCCTAGGCAACCACAGAACAGATCACTTGAAGTCTGCAGTTGCCTAGGCAACCTAAAATGGCTGCCAAGATCTTGTGAGGTCCTCTCATGAGATTTTGGTGGTAATTTACTCCACCATGAAAGTGAAAGATGTTCAGCGCGGGGGGGGGGGATAATGGATCGATATGAAGACTGTGAGGGGAAGCAGAGCCAGGAGGGAAAGAAAATGGAGCAAAAGGCTGGGAAGGAAACTCCCCTCCCTTGCAAGCTGTATGGGTCTCTTCCCTGTGTAGCCAAATGAACTGCCAAGAGACTCTTCACCATTACCGCCACTTAACTGGCTTCCAAACTAATACGTGTAAGTGCTGGTGTTGGATCCACACTAAACCTTCCATTAGCAGAATGGAACTCTTCTGCTTCCCTTTCCCACTGCAGCTGAGAATCCCCACAAAATACTGCTCTGGGGGCACAGGGAATGTTGAGGAACAACGGAGGAACGGAGAATTGGGGGAAACTGCCAGCTTAGTCTGTATCCAACCCTTGATTTTAATAATTTCAGCCCCTTCCAATCAGACAGATCTGTAACCAGAGGTGGGTCCCTGTAATAAGCTAAAATTGAATCTGCAAGTACGGAATAAACTGAATTGGCTTCCGCTGCCAAAGTGAGACCCTTCAGACATGAACCGGAGACTCAGGGCACCAAAGCATCACACACACAATTGCAAAATGACAAAAGTTATGCTACCAAGAGGAGAACACTGAATCTATTATTATTACTCCAGAACAGTTAATTTATTACCATCATTACCCCATCACAAGCGCTGGAAGGACAGTTATCAACTCATGGCACTTTTTTATCAACATATGCAGAATTCCAGTGTGTAACTTCAGACTTACCGCCAATTAAATTTCATATCAGCTACTTGAAAGCCATAATCTGCATGATCATGGATGAATTCCGTGTGGACGGCTGTATTCCACATCACCTTTCAGAGGAAGCACCCAGAACAGTATACAAATTAATGGGGGAAAGTCACACTGTCAATTACTGTTTTATACAATTCAGCTCATATATCGGGAGCAGAGAAACGTTTGCAGGAACCTGTTTTGGGGCACTGACTGAGATAAACTGGTCCACTTGTGACCCACCTAGATAAATACAGCTCACCTACCCTGCACGTGACGTGGTACTCTATTTGCAATTCTAGGCAGGCTACAGAAGCCAGGACTATTGAGCCCCATTTGAGCAGCCTCATTGGGCTGGTGGGGTGAGTTGAGCTTGGTGGGTCACAGACTGCCCAGACCTGGACTGCACAACCTTACAGATAATTCTCTAAAAAGTGATCTCTTCATCTCACCTTACGTTTAACAGGCCCAAAATAATAATGGGCACCTTTGGGCCTTTATGGCAAGAATGGCAAAGGGGAGCACTTGCAGGACTCGTGCCTGAATCTTTTAATTTAAGGGTACAATACAAGCTTGTGCTTCAATCCAGCTTTGCTGTCTGGGATTAATGCGTCACAGTCCACAGCACCAGGCCACCCCCTCCATTTCTGTCACTTACTATGAGCTATCGTTCTATAATTCCCAATAATTTTGCATGGATTTAGAGTAACTGTTTCATGCAGCTTTGACTGTAGTTAGCTACAATACAAGCTTGTGCTTCAATCCAGCTTTGCTGTCTGGGATTAATGCGTCACAGTCCACAGCACCATTTTGCATGGATTTAGAGTAACTGTTTCATGCAGCTTTGACTGTGGTTAGCTGCACTGGCCGTGCTAATGGAAACGGTGAGACGTACTTTTAGGGTTGGCTCCAAAAGTGCCCGTTTCACCAGTGTTACAGTAGTTCCATCAGCAGAATGGCTCTTCCATTGGCAGCTGAGGGGGAGGATGGTCTTCTCCAGTTCTTTCCTCTAGCTGGTGGTGGAAGGTGCCGACTGATGGTGACCCCGTAGGGTTTTCAAGGAAAATGTTCAGAGGTGGTTTGCCATTGCCTGCCTCTGCCTAGCAATCCTGCACTCCCCTTGGAGGTCTCCCTTCCAAGTACTAAGCAGGGTTGACCCTGCTTAGCTATTTAGCTACAGATCCCCAATTTGCCTCTCACAATATTCCTGCAGCTACCTCAATCCCTAGGAGCCGAAGGGGGGAGAAGAAACAGGGAAGTCTCCTTCTGCCAGCTTCGCTCTGCTGACAGTGCTCTGGATCCATCCCTTAATAATTAACACTTTCTTTCTAAACGTTTGGTCCCCCATTACAGTGTGGCTCTTTCATTAATTTATTATTATTTTTAATTACACTTCTATCCCGCCCTCCCACACAAGTGGCTCAGGGCAGCTCACAAAGCAACACCAGCTACGCGGTCTTCAATTTAGCCACTCAAAGGCAAATAATTCTTTCCGGACAAGGAGCAGAACGCCTTGGTGACATTGTTTGAAGCGTCCTGTGACCTAAACACATAGGTCACTAAGCAAAGCCCTGATACGAATGGACCAGGCTAGCCTGATCTTATCCGATGTCAGAAGCTAAGCAGGGTTGGCCCTGGTTAGTACTTGGATGGGAGACCACCGGGGAAGCCCAGGGTCACTACACGGAGGGCAGCAATGGCAAACCCACCTCTGTTAGTCTCTTGCCTTGAACACCCTACAGGGTGGCCGTGTCAGCTGCAAGTTGACGGCCCTTTCCACCACCACCACCAAGGAAGCAGCCAGGAGCTGGGTTGGGAGGTCTTCCTGGTAATTTTATGATACATTTTTCCCATGCAGAGTAAAACAGCACTAGTCTGTAAGGACTGTTTTCCTCCTACCATATCAGGGGCATGCACACAAGGTCTAGAATAGACTGAGCAGACTTCTGTGGCATTGCTAGGCGGGGGGGGGGGAATCAGTAGTAGAGGGTCACAAGAACTGTGTTTACTGGAACACAACAACTAACTGAACAGGCTACAACTTTGCGTTGCCTAAATCTAACCTTCTCCTAAATCTAACCTTCTCCAGTTATGTCCACAAGACCTGAGCCTCCCCTTTCTAGAGAGCCTTTGGGATTTGGCCTTAACGTGACAGTGCCCATATTGCACAATTTCCTACTTATAAAAAGTACCCACACTGAATTTTCACTTTTTCAGCCAAGAATCCCCCCTCCTCATAAAATATGAAGCATTTTAAAGTTTGGGTTTTTTTACCTTTTTAGGTACACATCCAACATTCACCTAGAAGAGAACAACAAATGGAAGAGTGTCAAAAGCTAGTATTATTAGGAGTCAAACTATATGCCGTGCAAGGAATCTGTGATGAGCGCTCCTGGCAGTAAGAGCTGTTCAAGAGTGGAATCAGCTGCCTAGGGAGGTGGCGAGCTCCCCCTCCCTGGCAGTCTTCAAGCAGCAGCTGGACAAACACTGGCCAGGGATGCTCTAGGCTGATCCTGCATTGAGCAAGGGGTTGGCCCCTTCCAACTCAATGGTTCTATGACATCTTTAAACCTCAAAAAGCAGTGGCGGGGGGTGGGGGCACTGGACTGAGGCCATAAGACCGCAGTGCATTTGTTACTCCTTAGGAATTATCACAGCTATTCCTTTGCATACAAGACAGTGAAAGGGACGTATGCTGGAACATCATAAGGATGAGACTTAACCTTTTCCCTTCTCTGAGTGACTACAAGATCCAACAACAAACCAACCCCTGCTCCGCAACCTCATTGTGGGTCCTGTTTCTCAGCCGTGTTAAAACATGACACTGTGCTGGGAACTGTTTTTTAATTAGTGCTGGATCACCGCATCACTACAAGAGAGAGGCCGTAACAGAAGTTATAAAATAACGCCTAGTGTGGAGAAAGCGAAGAGAGAAAACGTTTTTCTCCCTTTTCATTGGAATTCACAGACCTAAAATTCATCTTCACTCAAAGCACACTTAATAGAAATCATTGCCTTCATGTACAGTTGGCCGCTAGCTTAGATGTCTTGAAAAGGGGATTGGGCAAATTTGTGGAGGAAATATCTATCAATGGCTATTAGTGCAAGCAACTAAACGTAACTACAGGAACCAGGACGCTAGACAAACAGACCTCGGAGCTGATCTAGCAGGGCTCTTTTTCAGTCTTGTTGCTAAGCTGGGCCAGGTGTCAGCACTTGGGTGGAACTTCCTTTGGGAGCGCTACATACGCCTCTCTGCACTTGTCCAAAGGGCAGAAAACAACATGTAATGAATAAATAGACTTTAAATCTGGATGAAGTAGGCATAAAATATCCCCGCCCCCTGTAATGGCATTCTAAGGCAACAGGGTTATCTTTTAGCAGCTATGTTCTTTCTTTCAGCTTGAACAGAATCTTTGCAATACAATCAGAGAATATAGTCATGGCCAATTAAAAACTGAACAATAATTTATTTAACTGACAACTCTGCTGGCCCTAGAAGTCTGCCTTCTGAGATGGCTCACCCTGCTTCAAAGAATAGTACAAGAATGGGCACAGTAATAAGACCAAGGAAAAAAGGAAAAAGAACTGTGACAATTTAGCGCTTGGTAATATATTCATAAATCATAATATACAATAACAGAAAATAAGTAATATATATAGTGAATGTAGATGGTGGTCTCCGGAATGGTGTGCCGTTTCGACAATGATCTTCTTCTGAACAAGGGTGTGTACAAAAACTGTCTTTCAACAATTCATTTCTCTTGGTGACATATTGGAAATATACTGTTGATTCACTTCATCATGTTCAGAAGAAGATCATTGTCGAAACGGCACACCATTCCGGAGACCACCGTCTACATTCACTATATATATTACTTATTTTCTGTTATTGTATATTATGATTTATGAATATATTACCAAGCGCTAAATTGTCACAGTTCTTTTTCCTTTTTTCACCCTGCTTCAAGACAGAAGAACCAGTTCCACACTAATGGGTGGATCCAGGCACTTTGAATTCTATAGTGCTTCGAGGCTCCATAATTCATCTTAGAACACAGACAAGCCCCTTAACAGCCTCACGTCTCTTTCTCCATTTAAACCTGATTTCCCAGCTACAGTCAGTTGGGGACAGTCAAGCCCTTACTGTTTACCAGCCATTGCCAAATGCATGCCATTCCCTACACAGCCAGCTAAAGAGTAATCTCTCACCTATCTTCCTTGCTCAACAACTCGACTTGTTCAAGCCAGTCACTTCAAAAATATTCCCTCTTCTCAGTCCTCCATTTTACAAGCCTAACTTCCTTGTGCTCTTTACTGGCATGAGGATTACATAATTTTTTTTAAAAAAGTATAAAAGGTAAGAAATCCGAAACAATTGCAAAATCTCTCCAGAATTCTTTTCTTTCATTCTGGTTTTTTGAACTTCGTCTTATCCACCTCATCTTGGAGAAATACGTTCATCTCCATGACCTCACCAAGCCCAGTCTTGCAGACTGATTCTGTGCTCCAGTCTCTGCAAGGTGGTCAGAATCTTATCCTCCACCTTGACTAGCTGCTAATTCCAGTTGAGCAGCCATGTGAGATGGTAGCTACAAAATAAAATAGGAGTCCAGTGGCACCTTAGAGGCGTAAAAGCACTTATTCCAAAATGCAGCTGTGTATGGGTACAAGAGATGGTTGCCTTTCCCTGACAGCATGAGCAGGGTGTAGAATACCACTGATTAGCAAAATCAGGCTGCTCTCAAAATGACACACGTGCGGTCTCAGGGCCGGCCCCAGCTTATTTTGCACCCTAGGTGAGGATCCCTTCTGGCGCCCCCCCCCCCCGTGCGCCCACCAATTTTCAAAAATAAATGTATTTTAGGAAGAATGAAAAACACAAATAATCAAGAAACTCTCAGAGTACGGGGGCGGGTGCAGTTTGGCGCCCCTAAGGGCCGGCCTGCTCTAGGCGATCGCCTAGTTCGCCTAGTGAGCCGGCCCTGTGCGGTCTGTGCATGGTGTGAACCTTTGAATCAAAAAATACGTATGAATCTTTTCCGCATTCTGACTCAGAGCTAAAGAATTGTTGGCGTTCTACCCATACAGAACTTTGGACCTGCTTCTCAATCTGCAGTCCTTCAAACTGCACGACAGATCGATTCTGAAAGGGAGATGAGTTTCAGAAGCAGTTCTGCCACACAGCTTCCGGGTTGTCTTGGGGGGGAGTCACTAGGCATGTACAAAACCCTTGAGTGTGCCCAAGTCATTCTTTGGATCCTAGCCACTGCTTTTAGATATAAGATCTCTGGTTGTATATGCAAATATAATCCAAAGGAAAACAGTGTGTGCATCTAACAAGCCAGTGCTAGCAGTAGAGCAACAATGAAACTTTATAGCGAAAATCAGTTTTTCCTAAGCCGCTTATCGATGACATCACCATCAGGGAATGGTTGCAAAACATTAAATCCTATTATTACGAGGGGGGGGGCTCTTGAGACTTTTAACTTGCAGGCAGCAAGGTAGGTAGAAATCTGGCAAGAATCTGGGACAGAGTTATAGTTATGGGGAAACCTGCACCTTTTGAATTTCTCCCTGTCAGGCAACTCAAAAAGTGCAAGCTCCCAAAGATGACATGATAGCTATATTCCATCAATGTGAAACATGGACCCCTCTGTTGCAAAGAGGTTTACATCAGGCCCGTAGCTACAGTGGGGTATCTTGGGGCTAGGCCCCCTGACTTACTGGCAAGGCCCCCTGACTTCCCAACCAGCCCAGGACCCCCGAGCCGTGGCAGGTGCGGGGAAGGAGATGGACATTCCTTTAATTCAATTAGCCAGTGCCCCCTAAGAAATGTAAATGCCCCCTGACTTTAAAAATCCTGGCTACGGGCCTGGTTTACATGGAAGGCAGAGGTTTTGTTACAAACCTATTGGAATTGTTTTATCTGATATAATTTGTACACTACTTTGAGCATAACGCTTAGCCTCCACCCCACTGGCAACTCCACAGCATCCTTTTCCTTCTTCTTACATAAGTGAATGGCTGACATTCATTTCTGTAGGGACAATCAGCGCCAACCATGAGAGCAAAATTAACCATGCATCACGGGCTGGTGTGCTCCTCAGCTAACAAAATCCCACAAGGGAGGGCGTGGGTCTAACATGCATGGGGGAGAGGTACACGGGGAGTCATAAAAACACATGCCTCTGAACCTGTGTTCACCAATCCTCCATGAATCTGTCAAATTCCCTTTTCTACAACCCACCTAAACTAGCAGCTATCACATCTCATAGCATTGAGTTCCACAAGGCACCTACCCCTTATGTGATGTATTACTTCCTTCTGCCTGACCTGAATCTATGGCCAATCCAAACAGGCGAAACTAACAATATTTATCCCTGCATAAATTTGTCATGAGCCAGAGTCCACCTCATCACACGCATGAAGTTGCCCCTGCTCACAAAACTTTATGCTGGAATACATTCTGCTAGTCTCTCTAAGGCCCGACTGGATTCTTACGTTGCTGAAGATTAACATGGCTACACATCTGGAATGACTGCCAGCTAGTTTCCAAGTTTGAGTATGGCCAGGAAAAGGAATATAGGCTGCGGTCACACGCAACATTAGCCACGCAAGAGATACGGAAGACAAGCGGAGTTTCCGGTCGCGATCTCACCAGCACATCTGGGAAGCGTAGTGCTTCCGTGGCACAACTGAGGCTTCCTGCCGAAAAAGCGCAGCAAAAAACTAGTACCTTGGAGGTACTAGTTTCCAGAAACTGCGGGGCAAGGGCGGGCGTCTGATCGCGTTTCCGGTGGTATCCGGCGCCCGCCCATGTCCCCTTGCGGAAAAGGGTTTTTTTCCCCCCACGTCTCCGTGGATGCGCACACGCACCCAACGGAGCATGCGCATTCGTAGTGTACACAAAAAAAGAAAACCAGTTCGCCGCGCCGCGCGCTTCTTCATTGCGCGCAGGCGTGTGTTGTGATCGGCACCTCTCCCTTGCCATGGAACCTCCACAGTACCTCCACAGAACCTCCACAGTAGGTCTGATCGCTTTACTGCATGTTAGTTTGCCCCGGGGCAAACAGCCACACTTCTCCTCTGCAGTTTCCTGCCCGTGTGGCAGGGGCCCCAGTTTCTTTTTACCCAGTGCACTTTTGTTGACCTCTGCCACTTTAGGGAGCCTGAGCTGAGTCAAACAGCGGTACAGAAATGTTCCAAATATCGACATGTAGAAGGGGAACTTGACAGTTAAGAAACCTCGTAGAATAAAAGCCCTGCATCTTTCTGTGTTCATGCAGGGGCCAAGTGAAACCAGCTTCAAAAGAGACGTGCCGATCCTCTGCCTACTTCCTCAAAACGTCCGCTCCAGATCCCAGCAGCTCACAGTGCAATACTACAAAGTTTGAGTCCAGTAACAAAGTTTAATTGTGGGTATAAGCTTTCGTGCACATGCACGCGCACCACTTCTTCTTCTTCTTCTTCTTTGCATGCACACTTCTTCGAAGTGCCAAAGCTTCTACCCAGAACTCAACTTTCTTGGTCTCAAAGGTGCCACTGGACTCAAACCTTGTTCTGTCGCTTCAGACCAACACGGCTATAAGCCCACCTGAGCGCAATACCAGGCAGAGAGTTCAGGCCACAGAAACCTGCGGGGGGTGACTCACTCTGCAGAGGGTTGCCCCAGTTACTCGGGAGTAAGCCTGCTACAACCTCAAAGCCCCAATCCCAGCCAACCCTCAGCCACCCCTTCCTCCCGGACACTCTCGACTCACGCAGGTACCCCCGAGCCGCCCTCTTTCCACCACCGCAGCCCGAGCCCCGAGTTCTGCGGCGCGCCGGGCACTGGCCAGCCCGCCCGAGCCGCCCCCCAGCACCAGGTAATCGAAGGCGGTGGCGGTGGACGACGAGGAGGAGGACGGCGCGCGGAGCTGGGCCATGGCGGCGCGGCGGGCGAGGAGGAGGAAAGCAGCTCTGGCGGCGCTGAGGGGGAAGGACGGGCGCGGCCACCTCATCCCGCCCCCCTTCGCCGCCGCCGCCGGCGAGAGGAGGCCCGGAGCGGCGTTTTCTGAGGGCGCGGGAGCCTCCCTTCGGCCCTGCCCAGGCCGGCTCTGGTTGGCTAAACGCCCCAAGAGCCTCTCGTGAGGCGCGGAGGAGGGAGCCGCCCGCTCCAGGCCCAAAGCCTGCCGCGGGCCGGAGGCGGTGTGAGGTAAAGAGGCGGTGTGTGTGTGTGTGCGTTCCTTTCCTTTCGGGCCTCACCATCGGAGCCCTCCAGACTCCACAGGGAAGGGGGAAACCGTTTTGTGCCATCTAGTCGAGTGTTGCCAACCTCCAGGTGGTAGCTGGAGATCTCCTGGGATCACACCTGATTATACATCGAGATCAGTTCACCTGGAGAAAATGGCTGATTTGCAAGGTGGACGGCATGGCATTATAGCCCATTGAAGTCCCGTCCCTCACCAAACCCCGCCCTCCTCAGGCTCCACCCCCAGAATCTCCAGGTATTTCCCAACCTGAAGCTGGCAACCCTCTAGTCCAAACCCCTGCTTAAATATGGGTAGTTTTCTGAGGGGCTGCCTGCTCGCTTTGGTGTGTGTATGGCTGTAATTCCAGGGCTGCAGCCCTGTCAGCCTGTAGCAGTCGGATTTACGCATAAACTAAATAAGCTACCGTTTAGGGCCTCGCAATCTGCTGAAGCCTTATTTGTCATTTTAAAACCCTTTAATTATGTAATTATTTCTGTGGTTTTGTAAACACATCCTTTATTATTTTTAATAAAAATTAAAAGACAATATATTTTCAAATATTAAAAAGGCGTATATATTTTAAATTTTTCTGAGACCAGCTGATGTAATTTGTATAGTTTAGGGCCTCAGCAAGTCTGAATCTGGCCCTGTTAGTGGCACTTGAAAGACTAGCAGATTTTTATTCCAGCACTGCATGGCTGGTGTTTGCCTTCACTCAGCCAAGCAAGCTGGGTTTTTAAAAAGTTTGACAGTAACATGGAGACTCCACCCACCAGAAGCACCAGCTAGGGATGCCAGCCTCCAGGTGAGACCTGGGGATCCCCCGGAAATTATAGCTCCTCTCCAGACTACAGAGATCAGCTCTCTTGGAGAAAATGGATGCAGTGGAGGGTGGACTCTACAGCATTGTACCCCACTGAGGTCCCTGACCTCCCCAGCTTCCACCCCCAAATCTCCAGAAGCTCCTCAGCCTGGAGATGGAAACCCTACCCCTCCACCTCCTGCCAGTAGCCAAGGGGGACCTGGCAACGGACCCAAGCACCAACTGAGCCACTGCTGGTGTATGGGAATACATGAAGCTGCTGCATATCCAGATGCCAACAGACAGTGGTGCCTTTTCAGACTTGTAGTGGCTTGTCAGAGTCTCAGGTAGAGTTGTGTCACATCATGTTCTACCTGATTGTTTCGACTGCAAGTATCGGGGTTTTGAACCATCTGCCCGTGTCACTTCTTTCTGTGTGGGTTCTATGGGGCTAATTCAGAAAGAGCACTTGTAAGACAAAATGATTTAAAATAAGAATGGAACTCAACCTTTCCACCGTACAGAACAATACAATAAAAACAGATGCAGCTAACACGTAAATATCACAGAGAACAGGAAACTGCAACAGAAGATCTTTCTCTGAATTTAATTAAGCGACTAGTTCTTGCTTGCAGAACTTCATGGTGAGTTATGGTAAAGTCCTGCTTCTCAAGTCCACCAAGGTGCAGAAGAGATCTTTCGAAAGGATTCAGTTCCAACAAACTGCACAACACAGTAACCAGAATGCAATGTGCAGCTTGAAAGATGAATGAATAAAAAATGTGTCATGGAGTACAACTGACTCATGGCAACCCCATCCTCAGGGTGTTCGAGGCAAGAGATGAGCAGAGGTGGTTTTTGCCATTGCACTCCTCTGCATAACAACCCCCGTCTTTCTTGACTCCCATCCAAGTACTCACCATGACTGACCCTGCTTAGCTGCCAAGCTCTTAACAAGCACAGGCTAAACTGGGCTAGTCAGGCTGCGACTTGAAAAATATCGCCCTGCAATCGCAATATAATTGCTAAAATAATGGCAGTTAAACTAAATTTAATCCCCCCATTGCTAATTAATTTTCACATACAAAGTTTTCCAGTTAACCTTGTATTCATTTTATTATTTATTTTGCCTGCAAGTTGCAACTGACTTATGGCAACCCTGTAGCCTTTTTTCCATCCATTTCCCTCTTCTCATTTGGCTTACGAATTTCACAAGTTTTATTTGGGGCAATCGGGGGCGTAAAAAATGGCATCGTAGCCAGGGGACTTCTTTTGTGCAGAGGGGGGGAGACAGTATTAACATTTTTCCCCAAGACTTTAGGAGGTGGCCCAAATACCTTTCCCTGGAAGTTCTCCTTCAATGGCAACCCATAAGGTTTTCAAGACAAGAGACATTCCAGAGGTAGCTTGCCATTGCACGCCCCTGTGTCCCAGCCCTGGTATTCCTTGGTGGTCTCCCTTCCAAATACTAGCCAGGGCTGGTTCTGCTTAGCTATTGAGAGCTGATGAGATTGGGCTAGCCTGGGCTATCCAGGTCAGGGCATTAACCTTGTACAAGGTAATAAAGAACCTAGACATTTTTATCATTCTCCCCAGCAACCTGCCTCTTGCTCTGCTGCTAAGCAGTGTGTGATAACTCTGCACCCACTAGGCTAAACCAGCTGGTTCTTTGGGGTTACATGTGCAAAGTGGGTGCTCAGCCACTGAGCTACAACCCCTTCCTAATATAACAAACATATGAAGCTGCCATATGGAGAATCAGACCCTTGGAATATCAAGGACGATATTGTCTACTTTGATAGGCATCTGCTCTCCAGGGTCTCAGGTGCAGGTCTTTCACATAATTTGCTGCCTGCTCCTTTCAGCTGGAGATTGAACCTGAAATCAGGGATGCTCTGAGAATAACAAGGACAGGTGACCAGATATCCAGCCCAAAGCATTTGGAGGAAGGCTGGGGTATGCATTTGTGGAGTAGAACGGGGAAAATTGTACAGTGCATATGGAGAAAACCTATTATTAGCCTGTTCATGCTAAAAGCAAATCAGGCAGGTCGTTTTCATACATTATTTGGCTTGGGTTTAGATAGTTTGGAGGGAACCCCAGAGAGAGTCTTTGTACAGGGACTTGAGTGGCTCTTGTGGATCAAGGCCATAGGGCAGAGAAAGAATGGGCAGGTTAATGGGTAGGTGCCAGGGCCAGAGTTAGTAGACTGTAAACAAAGAAAACCAAGGAAATGCCAAATATTTTCAGTCCAGCTTATTTATTGACAGTTTTGTCACAGAGCAAGGAAGACACCGGTAGAACCCTTAGCCATCTTTGAGGAGACGTCATTGACAGTGGGAGACTAATACCTCAACATTCTGCAGCCAAGGAATAACCCATACTTCAAAATAACATCTGAATGTATGTGGGAGGGAAAGAGAGAAAAGAGAAATCAGTGTTTAAGCCTTAAACTTTAAGGCTTCCACTTACTGGAATCCAGGAAACTAACTCATGTCATTGTCAAAATGGTTTCAAGATCCTGACTATGGATTTCAAAATTGTTTCACCTTCCTCTTTTGCAGCCCTAAAAACAGATGTGGTCATCATTCCCACAACATCATATGCAACTCCCACACAAGCCTTGTGTCCAATATGGCAAAGAGCTAGTCTTGTTTGGGAAGAGTTAGCCGTGTTGTGGTACTTTTTCCTTGTGATACCAGCATAAATGATAAAATATAGAAAAACTGCTTATATGGGAAGAATCTGAGGTCAGGAAAGAAACCTACCTTTCTTCCTGAGACTCAAGGAGGATTACAAATATGGTAGAACTAATCATCAATCAATAAAGCAGTTACAAAATATGATTATATTGAAATAATATTTGCATCCAACACCAAAGATGCCTAGTAAAACAAAGCTATTCGGTCATTCAGCAAGCATTGGGACCCCTCCTTACATCACTTCTGTGGTGTGGAAGCTACTAGAACACATAGCTCCGGCCTGTACCACACGGATAACTTAAGAAGCACCAGACCCCAGTAGCATCACTCCTTCCAAACACTTAGTGGAGGCGGGATAGGAACGGCTCAAAACGTCTCATGTCACCAGTAGAGATGTGAAGGCCCGGGGAAAAAAACCTGAAAAATTCGGGGGGAAAACAGGGTTTTTTCCATTTTTTTCCCTGAAGTCTTTTTGTTTTTTTCCAAAAAATTGGAAAAATTGAAAAAAGAAAAAAAATTGACTATGGAACATTTTATTTTAACATGATAAATAAAATATTTTAAGACAAAGTGTTCAAATATTTTCCAAATAATTTCATATATATATATAGGAGGTGCGATTGTCAGAAGAAAATAAAAAAGTTTCAGTTTTATTTTTGCATGTGGGAGGGTATTCTGTTTGTAATAATTGTTTGGATACACTATATTTTTAATATGCTAGTTGTGATTATTTCATGCCAAGTAAAAATGTCCATACTCATATTTTATGTTCCTAAAGTAACAGAATGACTTTCAATCTAGAAAAGACAAAAGAAATGTTAATGTAGCATTTTTTTCAATTTTTCCAAAAATTTCCGTTTCCCCCCGGAAAAAAACGGGGTTTTTTCCAAGCTTCAAAATTTCCGGAAATTTTACATCTCTAGTCACCAGAGGAACCTCAGCTAGTGTGGGAAGGTAGCATCGAAGCCATTCTGTGGCAAGCCTCCTCTGAACGTCTCTTGTTTGAATTAAGGGTTAGAGTATGCCTCAGTAGAAGAGCATTGTGTGCGGAAGATCCCAGGTTGAATTCTTGGCAATGCCAGTCAAAAGGATCAGGGAAGAGGTGATGTGAAAGAACCCTGCGAGCCAGTCAGAGTAGACAGTACTGACCTTGATAGACAAATGGCTGCGCTCAATATGAGGAATCTTCCTACGTTCATGTGATAGGATTCTGGACCATACTACTTTAGAGTGCCAGTTGGAGGCAACGTTTTTTTAATACTCCCAAGCATTAAAAAAAAATCTCGAAATGTAATGAACTAACACAGCAGAGAGAAAAGTTCATCATGGTCCTCTCCCACATGTCAGTTTACATGCAAGGAGCATTTTTCAATGTCTGGAAATAATTAAACAAAAACTACAGCCCTCCAACCTGCATTTGGATCTAGTGATCTACCATTATATGCTTGTAGAGTAGCTCTAAGTAGCTTTGACAGTCTTGTAAAATAGCCTAATGGTATTTTCTGCAATGTTGGGACAAGATGTACATATTGGGCTTGCCCCGCCCCTTCCAGCCCTGATAGTAGCCAGTACTTTGACAACTGATTCCATATATGGAAAACTAAGACATCACACTAAACAAGTATCTTCTTGAAGTTACTTAAAGAGAAGATGGAGAGAAGAGATAGGATTTATACCCCGCCCTTCACTACACAAAGGTGTCTCAGAGCGGCTTACAAACGCCTTTCCCTTCCCCTCCCCACAACAGACACCCTCGGTAGGTGGAGCTGAGAGAGCTCTTGACAGGAACTGCTCTTTTTCAAGAACAGCTCTTATCAGAACTACGGCTTGCCCAATGTCATCCAGCCAGGTGCAAGTGGAGGAGTGGGGAATCAAACCCGGTTCTCCCAGATTAGAGTCCGCGCACTCAACCACAGGCCAGTGATTTTTTTAAAAATTGTGTTTCAGTGAATGCTGGGATTCTATTGAATTTTATCAGGGATGTCTCAGTGGCAGGACCCGTAAAGGTGGAGGCATGTCCCTGAAAGACTGTGTGCCTACTGCCACCGGTCTTTATCTTCCCGTTAGAGCCGCAGATGGACATGCTCTGTGTTATATCAACTATGCGTTAACAGTTAAATCAGTGAGGTTAGAGTGGAGTAACTCTGCACAGGGTTGCACTGTAAAACCCAACAGACTTGGCTGTGTCCTCAAACTGATTGTGTCTACTAGAACATGGCCCAGAATCCTTTGCAATGTGTGTGAGCTCTGTAGCAGATCAGTTGATGTGGGAAGTGATTCCTGGAGATACATAATTTGGAGAATGTTCTAGCCAATGCTGCCATTTTATAATATCCATGTCCATTTTTTTTGATTTTTTAAAAAGTCAGATTATGAAAATGAAAAATACCCATCAATGTTACCCATTTAGATACTTTATCAAGTATTGGGTTTTTTCCATTGAATGGCTTCCATTTTTTGCTTCTTGTTCCCAGCATGCCAAGGGCACAAACTGATCAGCAGCCATATCCCGTGCCCACTGAAGTCAGCAAAGCATTCTATACCGAATGGATCATGGCCTCCCAAAACATCCTGCTCCTATCTTTTCTTTTTTTAATATCCAACCTGATGAAGAGTTATGAAGACCTCAAAAACTTGCACCCTGTGTCAATTTATTTGGGTGGGTCCTCATTAAAAAAATATGACAAGGCCGTTTTTTCAAATATTACTGACACCGGTGAAGCCATGATTGCTGAAGTCACCGATGTATCTACCTTAGTGAAGACAGTAGACAGTGCTTTATTACATTTGGAATGTAGTTTCCAAAGGAGAAGTGAAGGGAAATCTATTTACTTGTCTCAGTTTCTTGTGCTTCTGAAATCGGCATTGGTCCAAGGTGGGGTGTTGCCTCTTGGTGCATACTGTCCGGGCAATATTGACATCAAGGTTGTATTTCAGCCCTCTCACAATCTAGAGAAAGCAGTTTCCATGTTAGAAAACAACAGTTAGGATAAAGCAGAGATGAGAGAACCTCAAAGGCTGAGGATAAGAGGTAGTTTTTTCAGAGATGACAGTTAGTATGACAGAAGTATTTCTATCATAGATGCTGCCTGTCTCCTCAATGGGGAACCGAAGCATCTTACATTATTCTCACCTTACTTCATTTGATCCTCACAACAACCCTATGAGGTAGGTGTGGCTGAGAGGATGTGACTGTCTGACAACGTTGTGTGGAAGCTCAGAAAAAGTGTTTCAAGCTCTCCCAGTAAGCGCCATGACTTGAACCTGTGTCTCCGGCACTCTAGTCCATCCCTTTGACTACTTTACCACTCTAGCTCTCAAGGTCAGGAAAATTATACAGGGGTCAAAAAGTGAAACTTTCCTGGGCCCCACACAGTGATCCAAATTGCACCCTCCCTGGTGACTGCTTAAGTTGGTGCTGCATCAAAAAACTTTTTGCTACATTGGGGCTAAGAAAAGAAAAAAAATCATGTAGCTTATCTAATAACCAGGCTAATAACAGTAAAGGATATCTTTGTAATTTGGGGTGGGGTTTGGATTCAGAGTGTGGAAACCAGCATGGAGTTAAAAACACCAGCGTACCACAGTTCCCCTGGTTTTTTGTTTGATTTGGGGAAGTCATCATTTTCCATTGATCTGCTGGCTGAGTGGGGCCGGTAGTAGTCAATTCACTTAACACTGGAGAAAAAATGCCGGGCCGTTCTTAAAGGTAAACACTCCCAGTTCGGCCATCTGACTCCCTCTGCTTCCAAACAAAATATCAACACAAGCCAGCAGCTCCCTCCCCCCCAATGGTGTATAAGGGTGATGGTGCACATTGTAAACTTGACAGTACAAAAAAACCCAAAATACACCAGTGTTTTGCCCAACTAGACACTGTCTGTTTTCAGTCAAAACACGTCTCCATTAATGCTGGGTCAGAATGAAAGTACAAATACTTTAGTTAAATTTGATTGATACATACAGTTCTTGTGTACCATGGGCCTCTCACCAGCATAGCTCCCCATAATGTGCAAATGTTCCCCTTTCTATCATTGGAAAGTGACGTCTCCTGCCACTCACAGCTCTCTGACAAACTATTGTCTGTCTCTAGTTAGATATTAGACCTGACGTGGATGGCCCAGACTGTCAGATCTCGGAAGCTAAGCAGGGTCAGTATTTGGATGGGAGACCACAAAGGAAGACCAGGGACGCTTCGAAGAGGCAATGGCAAATCAGCTCTGTTAGTCTCTCGCCTTGAAAATGCTACTGGGTCACATTAAGTGAACTGCAACTTGATGGCAAAAGAATAATAATAAAGTAAAAAATAAGCAAATGTGGTTAAAGGTAGGTTCATAAATGACGGGGGGGAGGGAACATTTTGGTTCCCTCAAAATTACTTCAGTTATCTGTATAATGATGACCATTGATTACTCTAGATTACCCGCAGCAAGAATGAATAGCCCCTCGGCTGTAAATAACACCACCCTCATATAGCATACTCAATATATATATATAATTATAGATATACTAGGGAGCAAAGCCCATTGTGGATTAGGACAATGGGCCCTAGAAAGGTAGGGTGGGTGGGTGGTAGATAGATAGTTAGATGGATACATAGAGGGGCTTGGAGAAAGAGAGGAAGGAAGGATGGAAGGAAGATGGGGGAGGGGGGAGACATAGACAGACAGTCAGTAAGCCAGACAGACAGGGAGGGGGGGGGGGAAGAAGGGAAAGCGACGGGGATGGGGCGGTGGGGGTTGGCAGAGCGCCGTCGCCCCTCGCCTGCTGCCCCCGAAAGCTGGTGAAGGTGGGGGGGAAGCGGCGAAAACGGGCTGTTGGGGGTTGGCTCACTGTCTCCGCCTCTGGCCTGCCGCCCTGAAAGCTGGCAAAAGCGGCAAAAAGAGGCCGGCAGGGCTGAGCGCTGCTGCCCCTCGCCTGCTGTCCCCGGAAGCCTGTAGGGCTCCTAAGGATCTTTGAAGCCGGTTAGGGGAGGTGGGAAAACAGACGTGCAATAAAGGGGGGGGGGATCCGGCTGCTCGAGCTGCCCCGGCGGCCTTCCACTGATTCCCTCCAGCCATGGCTAGTTGGGAGGGGGGGGGGGGAGTGTTCTGAGGTGGGATGTAGGCAACACAGCCAATGGAAGCTGGGGAAGCTTCTGACAGACAGCGCAAGCCTCCAAACACTGTTGGTGTGCATTTTCTCTCCGCTGCTTACTTACTCAATTATATATAAGGGAGAGATAGAAATAAAATAACATCCTGAGTAATAAGGAGGGAATATCAGGTTGGGCTTTCAGGTTCATTTGAAATGATTGCAGTGGAAATCTGGCTTTCCACATGGCTTTGCTTATCCATGAACAGTATGGAAACAACAGGTGAAACGAGATCTGATTGGTTACCATAACAACTAAGCTCTTCTTACCTGCACCATGGCTTTGTTTATGCGAGATTCTTTGAACAGAAAGATGTCATTGGAACTATTGTTGTATGTGTAAACGCCATACCTAGCTGCTTTCTGAACACCTGGGTCATTGGTCTTGATGGGAACAGGAGATCCAGGCTTAATTCTTGAACTAGGCAATTGCCTAAAGCTACCTGTATAAAGGCAACCATTCATCAGTGGACAGTTCGTTAGACATCATGCACTGTGAGGAAACAGGCTACATAACTAGGTTCCCCCCTCAAGCTGGTGAGTTCTTGAGCCCAGTGCACAGAATGGCACAGAAGCAACTTCCTTGCAGCTGAGAGAGCCAGTTTAGTGTTGTGGTTAAGAGCGGCGGACTCTAACCTGGAGGACCGGGTTCGATCCCCCACTTGAAGCTAGCTGGGGGACCTTAGGCCAGTCACAGCACTCTCGGCCTAAAAATAAGCATAGCTCGCCACCTAGTGGTGCCAAAAAAGAGCTACAGCTTTGCCAGCCAAATAATCCCTTCTGGGATCTCCTGGTTATTCTTTTTTTTTCTTTTTTTTTCTTTACAGTCATCCTGAGAGATGCCACACAAGTTGACAGAATGACAAGGAGAGGCTGGTGGCTTCAGAAGACTGAGTGTATTTGTGCTACACTTCCCACCCACCTTACTAAGTCCATTACAGTTCTACCCACCCAAAGGTCCTCTTACGCGATCCACTCAAGCGATGCCCCAGGAGACTATAGGAGCCCATGCTAGCTAAAACAAACCTCCAGTCTTCCAACTGAATCCTCCTGCTCTGCACATAACCTCCTTTCTTCGTTTGCCCTCATCCCATCCAGAGACGTGGGGCAGAAATTTTTCTGGAATGGTTTTACAGCACTGAGGAAAACTTTCCATTTCTAAAGATCAGCGGTTTCATACAAGTAATAACAATGAATGAATGCCATTGCCAATACATTACTAGGCAAACTTGACAGGTTCAAAGTTGCAATTAAATGTCTTTCAAGTGATTATATCTGGGAACTGTGTGAAAGAGTACATGTAGGCTTTATAGATTTGCTAAGAGGGCGAGAGGAATACAACTACAAACACAGATAATCCAAATAACAAATCAAGTTAAGGATTCACCTTGATTGGCTATGCATTTCATATCAAAGCCAAAAGTTAAGCTCTTGTTTTCATGCCTAGCCTCTCACAGGGTAGAAGGAATACTGTCATCACCAATCTGATGTGGAACTAACAACTAATGTTCATCATGCTATGGAGAGTGACAGTGAGTCTCTGTGTTACAGATGCTCAGGGCTTTTTTTTTGTAGAAAAAGCCCAGCAGGAACTCATTATCATAATAGGCCACACCCAACAGCAGAAACTTAGCATTTTAGGCCACTCCCTGACAGTGCAGTGTATTAGCATATTAGGCCACACCCCCATGCCTTCCCTTGGCTTGCCCAGGCGCCCCGCAGCTGCGGGGAGCCTGGACAAACTGGCCCTTGGACAGGCCGGGGAAGGCATGAGGAGGCATTTAAATGCCTCCCCGATCCTTCCAGGGGGGCCCCAGCCCACCCGTCTCGTAGTCATTGTGGGGGGTGTTAAGAACATAAGAGACGCCAATGTTGGATCGGGCCAAAAGTCCAACACTCTGTGTCACACAGTGGCCAGAAATACCAGTGCCATCAGGAGGTCCAGCAGTGGGGCCAGGACATTAGAAGCCCTCCCACTGTTGACCCCCCCCAAGCACCAAGAAGACAGAGCATCACTTGCCCCAGAGCCCCTATCTATACCTTGTGGCTAATAGCCACTGATGGACCTCTGCTCCATATGCTTATCTAATTCCCTCTTGAAGCCGTCCATGCTTGTAGCCGCCACCACTTCCTGTGGCATGTTGCTCTCCAGGCCTTCCCTCTGTAGCCAGGCACGCAGAGGTTTTGGCTATAGTGGGCATGGCCAACCCTGAAGCCAGCCGGAACTCCGTTCCTGTGCGTTCCTGCCCAAAAATAGCTCTGTAAGATGCTCATTTATGCTGCTGAATATACCTCCCCCCCCCCAAATAAAATATTTTACTCTTTGTTAAGTTTAGAAAAAAAGAACTGGTATCACTCAAGACTGGTGTCATGTGAGGAAGAGATATTGGCTTCTTCCTCTCTTTCACAAGTAAAGGCTCCATCTGTGGCTTAGTGTCATTTGGTAACTGACAGTTGGCGTGGGACACTTTAAAGAGTGTTGAAATATATTTGTCTTCCGCAGATGATTTCCCCAACAAAAGACCAGACTTCAAAGACAAGTGGATAAATTGGGCAAGCACTTTGCAGTGTGCTAATCCTCATTATGCACTTGTGGGACTCAACAGCAACTACCAACCTTAGCGCATGTCTGAAAATATGCAGGTGCTTTCTCCCATGAATAGTAGGAGTGGGTCTCCGTATTCACATTCATCTATTGATGGCAGCAAGTATGCAGTAATCAAGAATAGTGAAAGCCAGGGATACACATGCATATGTGAACTGGGCTTGGGACAGGCCACTATTAAATACCACCTATGTAACTCATAGGTAAAACGTAAAAGAAGAAGGGGATGGCAGAGGATGAGATGGTTAGACAGTCTTATTGATGCAACGAATATGAAGTTAAGTAAACTACGGAGGACGATGGAGGACAGGAGGGGCTGGTGTGATGTGGTCCATGGGGTCCTGAAGAGTCGGACTCGACTGTGCGACTGAACAACAAAAACGACAACATGTAACTCACACACTTGCTTTTCAAGCTTGATTTCTAATTTCTGCAATGCCTTGCATAGAAACTGATCTGCAGCCCCAAGATACAGAATTGGATCCACTGGAGTATTTCCACAGATGAAGGATTTCCACCTGCAAATCATAACTTTGTCACCTCCTCCCTGCAGCCTCAAGTGCCCCCCCTCATGCTGGGGGGGGGCTCCTTTGTCCACCAGGAGCATCCTGGGAGGGCAGCATTTTGAGCTGCAACAAGAGTAGAGGGGAGGAAGTTGCACCGTGCATGTGGAAATCATTCCATCTGTGGATCCAACCAATAACTTATTTAATTTATACCCTGCCTTTCTCCCCAATGGGGACTCCCCAAGCATCTTATATCATTCCCTGCTTCTCCATTTTATCCTCACAACAACCCTGTAAAGCAGCTTAGGAAGCCCTGACCTGGATAGCCCAGGCAAGTCAGATCTCATCAGATCTCGGAAGCTAAGCAGGGCCGACCCTGGCAGGTAATAGGAAGGGAGACCTCCAAGGAATTTATAATACATGAATCATGCAACTGTGATAAAGAAGCATTCACAATTTTTTATCTAAAGATGTTATACAAAACATTAATTTCTGAAGTGATTATTACAGGAGATAATACAATAGAAAAACAGAAGCGAAAAGGCGGGACGGTGGTCTCCGGATTGGTGCTGCCGTTTTGACAATATGTCTTCTTCTGACCAAAAATTGTGCCCTTATAAATAAATTCACAATTATGTGCCATCAATAAAAAATCAGTGGTAATAATACATCATCTAATTTTGATAATTGAAAATATTTTCTTACAGTCAATGTGAAGTATGGAGTTCTTCAAGCAACAAAAAGCTGTATACTCATACCTCCAAGGAATACTAGGGCCAGGACACAGAGGCAGGCTATCAAGTCACCTCTGTGAAATGTCCAAGCCCCACTAGGGTAGCCAGAGGTCAATCATGACTTCCAGGCACGCACATACACACACACACAAAAATACAAAAAGAAAAAAGCAGCAGCTAAGACTGACAACATGTGACTGGCTCAAAGTCACACAGCAAGTTTCCGTCGCCAAGTTTCCATTCTCTAACCACTACCCTGGCTCTCTCCTCTTGAAACAGAGGAGAGAGTCTTTGATTAGTGCTCTTTTTAGCATGAATACGTAGTTTTCATTAGGAGAATTAGGGAAATAAATATTTAAGTGTGAGGGGATGTATAAAAAGGCACATCTTACACACTAGTATCTTGAGATGTCAGGAGAGACAAAAGACTGAGTCTATCCGCCTTCTGATGAATGCCTTCTCTAGCACAGACGAGGGAAGCTATCAGAGAGCTAGTAAGAAAAACTGAAGCAGTTCTGATGTTTGCTCCGTTTGTGGAGGGGGGGGCAATTTCACATCTTCCAGATGCCCCCCCCCCCGTGCTGCATGAAATGGTTAAGAAGGGTACCACACTCTGTGGAAGAGGATTTTTTTGACAGTCATAAGGGGATACTGAGGTAAAGAGGAGGCAGACTCCTTCCGTTCTGTAGAGAGGGTGCAGATTTCAGTCATCCCTCTCATTGGATGATCATCTTACTGGTAATATTAAATATAATGTCAGGAAATACTCCAGTGCTCCCCCACCTGCAAGGGAAATTTGCACATTCCTCCTTAACTCCCTGAAGGGACATCAACAGCAACACCAGGCACACACTCTTGTTCTTAACCTCCTCCCTGAATCTTTCACCGCTCCAAACAGAAACCGCCACAGAGAGATACCAGTTGAGAGCCTCGCTTATCTTATGTTCTACGGGTTCACATTTGGATAAACCTAAAACCTGAAAAGAAGTTTTTATTTTGTTTGGTTTTCTTTGCTCGGATTCTCGCTCTGACAAAAGAATTGGGACAGGGTTGCGGAGTCTGCTGGAAACGACTGCACAGTGGGCTGTTGTCATTCAGGCTCTGTGATGCACGGAGAGGCCTAGCAGACCCTGTGCCTTTGTCGGTCAGCTGTAAGTAGGGTTGCCAGCTCCAGGCTGGGAAATACCTGGAGATTTTGGAGGTGGGGCCTGAGGGAGGAAGGGCTTTGGGGAGGGGAGGGGCTTCGATTGAGTATATTATCATAGAGTTAGAGTCCACCTTCCAAAGCAGCCATTTCCTCCAGGTGAATTTATCTCTGTCACCTGGAGATCAATTGTAATCCCATGAGATCTCCAGCCGCCACCTGGAGGTTGGCAACTGTAGCTGCAAGGTCTGGTTCTACTCCATCTTTTCCAATGTTTTACTGGGGAAAAGTAGGGTTGCCAGACCCAGGTTGGGAAACTCCTGGAGATTTGGGGATGGAGCCTGGGGAGGACAGGAAGGTCAGTGGGATACAGTGCCACGGAGTCCACCCTTCAAAGCATCCATTTTCTCCAGAGGAACTGATCTCTGTAGTCTGGAGATGAGCTGTAATTCCGGGGGATCCCCAGGCCCCACCTGGAGGCTGGCATCCCTCGGAGAAGACGGGCCCTTTCACTTACTGGGAAAGTTCCTAGTGAGCTGGTCCTGTGGAGGGCTGGGGTTGCCAGGGGCAAGCTGTGCTGAATGCCAGTGGTGCTGGCAGCAATGCCAAGATCACACGTTGCTTGCCGCTGGCCAGATGAGAGCCAAGTGGTCCCCATATTGCTGACTGTGCTGCTGGGGCCTCTTGTCTCAGCCTCCTCCTGGGCCGCGTGGAAGCCTGAGTCTGTCCCGGAGTGTTACATACAAATTGTTCCCTCTAAGCAGTGGAATCTTGTGAGCAAAAATTCTGCTTTGTGAGCAACTGGCATTAAAGTTGTGAGCGAGCGATCTGGCTACTGCATAAATTAATTTGCTCTGGAGCCCTCCTTCCTGAGCTAAGACAAAAATGTGTGAGCTGGAGGCTAAAAACCTGTGAGCTAGCTCACACTAACTCAGCTTAGAGGGAACACTGCATACAATATAGGGTTGTCAACCTCCAGATGGTACCTGGAGATCTCTCACTATTACAATCGATCTCCAGA